AAAACACAGCTATGGTCGTACATGCCCATGTTCGCGCTATGTATGCTAAATACACATGCGATGTAAGTATGTAACATTGGGCGGGAAGATAACAAAAAAAAAACACATCACAAAGGCAGTCTCCTCGGGGCCTGGGGAAATGGGTTTCCATTTTAACTGAAATGATTTATTTCGCTCATTAAAAAGGGCTTAAGAACAGGGCAAATGCTAACAGGTGCTCATTCTGAGTGACGGCTGTTTGGGCGTGAGTTATATTTTTTCCCCTTACATTTTTAAAATTTCCAAAATAAACCTAGACAGATGCAGAAATAAACCCATGAGAAGTTTACTAAAACATCTGTAGTGATTACGTCTGGATTAATGAATATGTGTGATTTAATGTTCTTCATATTTTATAAATTTAGCAATTTTCCACAGTGAGTATGTGTTGCTTTTGTAACCACGGGAAACAGCATAATCAAACCTTCCTTCTATTTGAGATAAACACTGCCTACCGTTGGGGACGGTGTGGATACAAACCACTGAAAGACAAAGCCATAACCCCACGTGCAGAGAAGATGAACAAAATATGATTGCAGTGGTGCCTTGCTTTTTCATTAGTGTCTACTTGCTTCTGAAATTCAGCCAAATACTGTAACACCATGTAGAAATGATAATCATTCGGGAACACGGAGATCAGTACATCTCTCGACGTAAAGACATTTATTATCCAAATTTAAATCGTACACAATTTGATCTAATACCCTCAACTCTATTTTAAGTACTTAGTAATTAGGATTAGCATTTTCCATTCATTAAAGTTTCCTAATTAAATTATTAATTGAAACTCCATGCCTTTGATAGAGACTCCTATTAGATCCACATCCAAGGATGAATGCAGGTTTTGGGTTTCGCTGTTCTATGGATGATAATTATATTTGAATAGCTCTCGATGGCCGAAAATGTAGTCTCGTTACCTTCCAGTATCGGCTCGTGTGGCGGAGATTCTGGGCATCGCCACAGGGAGAGGTGCTGATGTACAGGTGAAACTGGACGTTCTCCTATCATTTAAACCCTCCCTCGCTCAGATTTCTGAAAGATGGATCTTATTCTGATCATCTTTGTACTGGAAAGAACAAAAGTGCGAAAGAAACATTAAGCTGCATTCAGTCCAAAATTCGGTTATCACCGGTCACGACGGATTTCCAGAGGCCACATATCTCACAAGGGAAACGGTACGTTTTGAAGCTGGAATTTCCTATTTACGTATTTATAGTAATGAATAACAGTATCTTGTCCACGCAATAACTCGCATGCCGTCGGAAATGTAGACAAGCCCTCCTCTTCTTCTGATTATGACTTCAGAACAGAAAGGCCACATGGAAAGAAACAGCTTTGATAAAGAAAATGCAGTTATAGGTACATGATTAGCTCTTTCCAGAAAATATAACTGGCATAAAAATGACCATCTACATCAGTTAGGTTCAGGAAGTCATATTTATATTTACACTGCATAAAACAACAATCATGTGGTCGTGCAACAAAGACTGTAAAATTCAATGTCCATGAGTGTGTCCAATCGCTCGAATAAGCGGTGGTGTGTTTTGTTGTGTGTTATAATTCAGTCAAGTCTATTTGCATGTCTTGAGCATGAGGAAAAATGGGATTCAATCTCATTGTTACTGATAGTTAATTGATTTCTGGAAATTTTTCAGTGATCATGGAAACAATGAAAGGTTTTAGCAATGCTTGCATTCAAAAAAAAAAAAAAAATCAGGAATAATTCAAGGATGTCCACTCCCACCATTTCCATTCAAAATAGTATTAGAAGTTGGGGGATGGACACACTTGAAGCTCTTACTCAAGGGGGGAGGGGGACATGGGCAATATACGTAACCTTAACACTTGTACCCCCATAATACGCTAAAATAAAAAAATTAAAAAAAATAAAAAGAAGTTCCAGCCCAAGCATTTAGGGATGAAAATGATATGAAAGGCATTCAAAATGGAAAGGAAAACATAAAATTATATCTGTTTGCACATGACATGATTTTATACAGAAAACCCCAAAGATGCCTGCCAAAAACCTGTTAGAACTAATCAACAAATTCAGCAAAGTTACAGGATATATTATTAAATCAAGACATAAAAATCAATTGCATTTCTACACACTAACAATGAATAATCTGAACAGGAAATTAAGAAAACAATTCCATTTATAATAGCATCAAAAAGAATAAAATACACAGTAGTAAGTCTAATCAAGTGACTTGTGAAAGACTTGTACAATAAAAACTACAAAACATTGCTAAAAGAAATGAAAAGAAGATAAAAATAAATGGAAATACATCCCATATTCATGAGTAGGAAGACTTAATACTGTGAATATGTCCATGCTAACCAAAGCAATCTGTAGATTCAACACCACCCCTATGATATGGACAATGGCACTTTATGCAGAAAAATCTACCCTAAAACTTACATGACATTTCAGGGTACCCTGGACAGCCAAAACGGTTTTGAAAAAGAAGAAGAAAGTTGGAGATTTCACACTTCCTGATTTCAAAACATGTTACAAAGCTACAGTCATCAAAACTGTGTGGAACTGGCACAGAGACACATGGAGAGCAATGGGACAGAGCAGACAGCCAGAAACAAACCCTCGTGTGTGTGGCCAAGTGACCTTCAACAGAGTGACAAGACCCCTCGGGGGAAGGACTTGGTGAAGACATGGAACCTTCTCACCATACACTATAAAAGGAGCTCTGTGAGCGAAGAGGAAAACACTGTGAGATCCAGAAGACCAGTGGGCAAAGGGTACAACTGGGCATTCAGGGGAGGTGAAAGACGAACAGTTATCACGTTTCCCCGAAAATAAGACAGGGTCTTATGTTTATTTTTCCTCAAGAAGACGCCCTAGGGCTTATTTTCACTGAATGTGTTATTTTCCCCTCAACGCCTCAGCTTGCAGCATGCACAGGATGGCCTGGACCTGACAGGGGGAGCCGACCTTGTGGGTGGGGCTGCCCGCACCTTTCCGGTCACCTCTGGGATAGTAGCTGTCACCATGGGGCAGATGAGAAGGGCTGCTCGTCTTCTTTACTGCTCCACGATGAAATGCATGGGTTGTGCAGACGCGCTGCGTAGCCACGCCCGTCACTAGGTCTTATTTTCGGGGTAGGGCTTCTATTGCGCAAATGCTTAGAAATCCTGCTAGGGCTTATTTTATGGGTGGGTCTTATTTTGGGGGAAACACGGTAATATGTAACTGAGGAGATGCTCAACATTCCTGGTGGTAGGAGAAATGCAAGTTCAGACCACAGACACCAGTTTACAAACTACGGGAGAGACTAATCCGACACACTGGTGGTCATGTGCCAGTTGGCATGACCAGTCTGGGGTGTGCCCTGGTGTCACTCTGTGAAGTTGTCATGTGTCAGCTCTTGAACATGTGCCCCAAAAAACTCTAGTGAAGGTCTCCCCTGAGCTGTGTGAGGATATTCAGGGCCACACAGGAAGAGCAGTAGAAAACCCAGGGCTCCAGCACGGAGGAAACGGCCCAGGACTCCGAGGGGACATGTGCAGAAGTCAGAAGCAATGAACTGAGAGCTGGAACCCATTCTACTAGGTGAAGTATCCCAAGAATGGAAAAACAAGCACCACATGTACTCACCAGCAAATCGGTATTAACGGATCAGCACCTAAGTGCACATACAGGAATAATATTTATCGGGTGTCGGGCAGGTGGGAGGGGGGAGGAGGGGATGGGTATATACATACATGATGAGTGTGATGTGCACCAACTGGGGGATGGACACGCTTGAAGCTTTGACTTGAGGGGGGGGCAAGGGCAATATATGTAACCTTAACATTTGTACCCCCATAATATGCTGAAATAAAAATAAAAAAAGAAGCAATGAACTGGCTTTTGGTTAGAGCACTGGAGACAGTTTCAAAAACCCAGGGTTGAATGAAGATGTAAGAAACAGATGGGATTTATAGCATTATACCATTTCTGTAAATTAACAACATATACATAAACACCTCGAAGTGACACTGCTGTGCATTTCTCAAGAACACACACACACACACACACACACACACACACACAGTAAGTTAACACGTCCCAGAGGCCTCAAGCGTGTGATCGCTCCAGCTCCCTGCACCTGAGGCTCCCGTCCAAGACCCGTTAGATAACATACATGGGGAGACGTGTGTGCACATGTGCGTGTGTCAACGTCCACGGCTTCTGGATGGGCCGTCAAAACCCTTCGCCACGGCCTCTGCTATGGTTCTGAAGAGGGAGATCTTTTATTCTGTGTGCTTTTGTGCCACTGAATGTTTTTCACCATTGGCCCATGTTACCTTTTTTTTTTTTCTTCAAATAAACATTAGTTTCAAAAACAACAAAGAAGAACTACTGGGACTAACACCAGCATCTGAAAAAAATGAAAGGTTTTCTCGAATCTGACCTGGATACAGGCTTCCGGGAGAGAAGTGTTTCAGCACACACTAACTCGAGAGGTGTTTGCAGAGCCCCTAATTTCAGCCTAAGCCACTGCCAGGCACAGGACGGCCAGATGATCTCTGTGCCGGGACTCGGCGTCTGTGACGGGTTCTATGTGATTTTTAAAATGTAAGTATCCATTATCCCGAATGTTAACTGAATGGTGAATATGACCATTCAAACCGAGACTACTAGTAACGTGGGGAAGCAAATAGTTTTAAAATGTCACAGTCGGCAGCACATTGGAGACACCGGTTTAACCTGGAAGCCCTGTACAAACAAGTCGGACGCTTGTTTCAAAGGACAGGCAGGGCGAGAAGTCTGCCGCCCCGAGTGAAGGCCCTGCCGCTATCCGCTCCCCCGGGGCCCACGTGTTTGGAACCTCAGTCCTTCAGAGAACACGTGGAACACTTGAGCAGGGACCGGGGACAGAAGCCAAAAGGGAAGCTTAGCAACGGAATGAGCGAGTCCCGCGTGCAGGGAGGGGCCGCGGGCCACGCCCCGCCCGCCTTACCGAGCGATCTTGTCGCTGCAGGACATGGTGAGCAGCCTCTCGCCCTGCAGCACCCCGTCCCACGTCTGGATGCTGGCGTTGGAGCGCACCGGGATCGTCCCCTCCCCGGACTCGATCTTGGTCCGCAGCTGCCCTCTCGCTTTGCGGTTCGGGTGTCTGTCCGCTGGTTCTGGAGAGGAAGGGGGTGGCCACAGACAGCTGCTCAATGCACTGCAAAGCACACCTCACAACGCCCTGCGCACTCAAAACACAGCTTATGCGTGTACATGCCCATGTTCGCGCTATGTATGCTAAATACACATGCGATGTAAGTATGTAACATTGGGCGGGAAGGATACAAAACAAACCACATTCACAAAGGCGGTCTCCTTGGGGCCTGGGGGAAATGGGGTTTCCATTTTAACTGAAATGATTTATTTCTGTCATTAAAAAGGGGCTGAAGCAACAGGGCAAAATGCTAACAGGTGCTCATTCTGAGTGACGGCTGTTTGGGCGTGAGTTATATTTTTTCCCCTTACATTTTTAAAATTTCCAAAATAAACCTAGACAGATGCAGAAATAAACCCATGAGAAGTTTACTAAAACATCTGTAGTGATTACGTCTGGATTATATGAATATGTGTGATTTTAATGTTCTCATATTTTATAAATATTTAGCAATTTTCCACAGTGAGTATGTGTTGCTTTTGTAACCATGGGAAACAGCATAATCAAACCTTCCTTCTATTTGAGATAAACACTGCCTACGCTTGGGGGACGGGTGTGGATACAAACCACTGAAAGACAAAAGCACTAACCCCACGTGCAGAGAAGGATGAACAAAATATGATTGCAGTGGTGCCTTGCTTTTTCATTAGTGTCTACTTGCTTCTGAAATTCAGCCAAATACTGTAATCACCCATGTAGTAAATGATAATTCATCGGGAACACGGAGGATCAGTACATCTCTGACGTAAAGACATTTATTATCCAAATTTAAATCGTGACACAATTTTGATCTAATACCCTCAACTCTATTTTAAGTACTTGGTGAATTAGAATTAGCATTTTTCATTCATTAAAGTTTCCTAATTAAATTATTAATTGAAACTCCATGCTTTGATAGAGACTCCTATTAGATCCACATCCATGGGATGAATGCAGGTTTGTTGTTTCGTCTGTTGCTATGTGATGATAAATTTACTTGAGAAGCTCTCGATGGCCGGAAAATGTAGTCTCGTACCTTCCAGTATCGGCTCGTGTGGCGAGAAGATTCTGGCATCGCCACAGGGAGAGGTGCTGATGTACAGGTGAAACTGGACGTTCTCCTTCAGTTTAAACCCTCCTCGCTCAGATTTCTGAAAGATGGATCTTTTCTGATCATCTTTGTTACTGGAAGGAAAAAAGTTGCGAAAGAAACATTTAAAGCTGCATTCAGTCAAAATTCGGTCTATCACGGTCACGGACGATTTCCAGAGGCCAATATTTTCAACAAAGGGGGAAAAGTACGTTTGAGCTGGAATTTCTATTTTACGTATTTATAGTAATGAATACAGTTCTTGTCCACGCAATAATGGACATGCCGTCGAAATGTGAGCAGCCTCCTCTTCTTCTGATTTATGACTTCAGAACAGAAAGGCCACATGGAAGAAACAGCTTTGTAAAGAAAATCAGTTTAGGTACATGATTAGCTCTTTCCAGAAATAGTAACTGGCATAAAAACGACCATCTACATCAGGTAGTTCAGGAAGTTCTATTTATATTTACACTGCATAAAACAAAATCATGTGGTCTGCAACAAAGACTTAAAATTCATGTCCATGTGTGTCCATATGCATGTGTGTGTGTGTGTGTGTGTGTTATAATTCAGTCAAGTCTATTTCATGTCTTGAGCATGAGGGAAAAATGGGATTCAATCTCATTGTTACTGATAGTTATTATTTTGAGAATTTTTCAGTGATCATGGAAACAATGAAAGGTTTTGCAATGCTCTGCATTATGATAGGAAAAAAATATTTTTAGTAGTAGCCCCTTGACGTTTTCACTAGACTTACTTTACGTAAAGCTCAAGTTGTGCATAAAGAAATCTGAGCAAGGATCTTCGAGATATTATCTCTGCATGGCAGTCGTTTAGGGCAAGGCCACGATCGCTCATGTATTCACCATTAATGCACTTCGTTCCCGTGGAAATGCTTATCACCTTGGCGTCTTTAACATCCGTGCCTGAAAAACGAAAGAGCAGTCACTCTCTGTGACTCACGGCAATGCCTGCCAACCTGCGCCCCCGGGGCCGGCGTGTCCTCTCAGTGACTCCCCTCCCCAGGGCCCCACCGAGCCCACCAGCTCATCTTCACACCTGTTCTCACCACCTCACTTCTCACTGGGCAGAGCTATGCCCTGCCAGTAACCTTTTACCGAGGACACTTGTGACTTTTCTGGGACACTAACCTCCCCACTATTTACTGTAAAGATTCTAAATAGTTATTTCCTCTGCAATGCAACAAGGTCTTTTCTGGAACATTCACCATGGGCACGGGCAGGAAACGCCACATTACAGGCAGACCTGGCCTGGCAAATTACCCTTGACATCAACTATCAAAGCACTAAAGGGGCTGGAAGGGTCGGCTCAAGGGCACCAGAGGAGCGGGCAGGAAAACAGGACAAAGTCGCCACGTCTTGCTTAGTATCTGTCCCTCGTCACTGCACTGGGAGTGAGATGTGAGCAAGAGGGAACTTCCATACAGGGCCACTCCGGACGGACTCGCGAGACAGACCATGGGCAGAGACACCCTGCAGGCCCTGATGGCACCTGGGGGTCGGCTTGCGCTCCCCACAGCCAAATGGATGGTGTGCACGCTGGGTGACAGCATGCAACCAGGGGGGGACGTTAGGAAAACTGTCCTCATTGCCTTCCCATGACGTCTTCTGAGGTGCATGCTACTGCTGTCTCCACGTTACAGGTGCATAAACTGGGGAATGGGCGGCTCTCGACCTGCCAAGGCGAGAACACCTGAACCGGGGTCTGAGCTCGCCACCCGCACACCTGGTGCTCACTACGCAGTGGTGGCTTCGGATGGAGATTGTGGCTTTGAGCAAACGGTCTCAAGTTTAATACACACTAAAATGCAAATGCTCCCAGTAGGAGCATCTTCCAAGGCGGTTAAAAACACCGGGTAAAAGAACTCGACCAGCTCACTCACTCACTCCTGTGGCCCAGGGAGGCACAGAACCTCACTCAGAGAGCTCGACTCAGCGGGTGAGGTGTCCCGAGCCCAGTGTGGTAAAGGCCGGCCGGCCGCGGACAGAGCGCAGAGAGGGGAAATACAGGTGTCAGAACACCGGGCACTTCCTCACCCCACACCCTGGCTGGCAGGTGTGGACAGACAAACCGTTCCCAGCGTCCTCCCGCTCCGGCTCCAGGGCCTGCTTCCTGCAGGTCCAGGCTGGGCAGACCCGGGAGCAGAGAGGGCCACGTGACAGGCGGCCTCCACTCCAGGGAGCAGTGCAGACCAAGGACATGGTTTCCTTTTCCTGGGAGCTGCCACCGAGATGCAGTGTGAGAAGAGGGTTCCGGGATTCCTTCTGCTACTGGGACTTCTAGGCGATTTTTTTTTTTTTTTGAGACAGAGTCTCACTCTGTTGCCCGGGCTAGAGTGCCCTGGCATCAGCCTAGCTCACAGCAACCTCCAACTCCTGGGCTCAAGCGATCCTCCTGCCTCAGCCTCCCGAGTAGCTGGGACTACAGGCATGTGCCACCACGCCCGGCTAATTTTTTCTTTTTTTTTTTTTTAGTTGTTTAGCTAATTTCTACTTATAGTAGAGACGGGGTCTCACTCTTGCTCAGGCTGGTCCCGAACTCCTGACCTCGAGTGATCCTCCCGCCTCGTTCTCCCAGAGTGTTAGGATTATAGGCGTGAGCCACTGCGCCCGGCCTTAACAAATTTAACAGGATTTCTTCTGCCTAAACTGTGCCTTTTTCCAGGGATTTTCTCTCTTGTATGAGCCTCCTCCCTGCCCCTAACAGTCACTCAGAAACCTATCTGGCAGCACCAAGAGTTGGGTGATAAATCAGACATATCCTAGCTCCAGTAACGCAGGAATTAGCACGTCTCCTGCCGTGTTCTGGGGCAGACGGAGGCCTCTCAGACAGAGACGATAGGAATCAAGCATTCCCACAGCATGCTTTCTCCAAAGGAAACAAACTCAGGTTACAAAGGTGAACATTTAGGGGGGGAAAAGCTTTGCAAGCGAAGTTCCCACGTTTGCAAGTGGCCGACATTCGAAAAGAAGGAAAGCCACCTCCGGCCGGTGTGGCAGCGCGGTTCTCATGGACGGGGAGCCCGTCACATCTGGCAAACACGGACGCACGCGGGTGACACGCAACACCAACATGCTCACCTGTCGTCATGACGACCCCGGCGAGCACTTTTCTGCGAGCGTGGGGGGAGGAGAAGTTGTCGGTCAGGTCGCCAAACTTACCCAGGACCAGGCGCGAGACGGCGTCCGCCAGCACCTGGGTGGGGAGCAGAGACGCAGGGGTTAGGGACCCGCCGGCTCCAGGGCGGGGCGGGGCCCTCTGGATGCCACCACGCACCGCTCCACACAGTGACATTCGCAAACTGCCTCTGATCTGGGAGACCACGCAGGTAAATCTGCCACACGTGTGTGTGTGTGTGTGTGTGCGCGCGTGTGTGTGCACACGTGTGTCCTCCAAAACACTGCCTGGACACTGATGCCCAAGGGTGACGCGAGGCTGTGGCTGGGGCCTTTCCACATGCCCTCGTGGGGGCCGGCACTCACGGAGCGTGAGGCCCACACACACGGCGTCCCTCTGATTCTCACAGCAGCGGCCCTGTCTCCAGGAGGAAACCGAGGCACAGGGGTGCGAGTGCCTGCCCAAGCGCCGCCTGCCACACCCTGTGCCCACCGATGCTGCTCTCCGTCGCCTCTCTCGGTGACACTTCCTGAGGACGGGACTTTCGGGGGCAGCGGAGGAGGGCCCCTCTTTCACCCCTCCCACACCCCCACGTGGCGCGGCTTGGGGGCTGCACGAGGCCGGGCACATGCCAGGCGACACGCAAGATTGCGGGCCAGAGGGCCAGCGTGAAGGTGCGATCAGATGAAAGAACTGCCAGGGAGAGACATTTCCCGGTTATTTCAGCCTCCGTCCACAACGCCTCCCGGCTCAGCGCCTCGGCTCGGGGCGCAGCCGCGACTCAGAGCTCGGGAGAGCACCCCCTCCTCAGGCCCCACGATGCTAGAATGCACCCAAGGCTGATGCTCTGAGGGAAGGTGTGAAGTGCGGTGTCTGGAACCTCTGGACTGGAGTGTCATCAGATCAGACACCAGAAGGGGTGCTTCTCAGGAGCGTACCTGTTAGATTCTGGACCCGGTCCTAGCTTTACAGCCCACTGGATACAGTGAGAAGCGATGTCTGCTGCCAGGGGTGTGTTAGGAGCCAGCCTCGACCCGCGTCCCACCAATCTTACGCTTGTCTGGACAGCCCACGGCCACCAGGCCACGCTACTGCCCCCAGGTTGGCCCCTAACAGAAAAGTTCCCAAAATGAATAGGAAAGTCTCTCATCCTGGGCGATGGCTTAAGGAGAAAACACAGCTGTCGGGAGTTTTCCTCCTGCCCCTGCAGCAGCAAACGCCAGCGAGCCCAGAGCACAGAGCTCAGGACAGAGCACAGAGCTCAGGACAGAGCACGCGGGAGGGGGCGAAGACAGCCCGAGGCAGGGCCACGCGCAGAACCGCTGGCCGTGAGGACACCATGGTGGCCAGGCGCCCAGGGGGAACGGCCGGTGCGCTCGAATCCACACAGAAAACGTGGAGAGAGGTGGAGGACCAGCAGTTGCTGTCACATATGAAGCTAGGCACGTCTCCAGATTTTCAGAGAAAGGTGGGAAAATTTAACCGAAGAGTTCTGGGAGGTCCCAATCAGAGGTGTGGCGCCCTCGCTCACGCCAGCCAGGCGCAGGCACCTGCGCACACGGGCAGTTCTCACGTCCCCTCGAAGGAACACCAGTCTCATTCTGTATGGAGAATGCAGCGACTGCCCTCTCGGTTTCAGGGCGGACAAAGCAATCACCGCAGCAACAAAAATAAACAAATGGGACCCGATCAAATTAATAGGCTTCTGCACAGCCAAGGAAATTATCATTAGAGCGAATAGACAACCTACAGAATGGGAGAAAATATTTGCTCTCTACACATCCCATAAAGATCTGATAACAAGAGTCTATCTAGAACTTAAAAGAATTAACGAGAAAAAAATCAAAAACCCCATCGAAAAATGGGCAACGGAAATGAACAGAAACTTTTCCAAAGAAGACAGAATAATGGCCAGCAAAGATATAAAAAAATGCTCAACATCTCTAATCATTAGAGAAATGCAAATCAAAACCACAACGAGACGTCACCTAGCCCCAGTGAGACTGGCCTCTATCAAAAAAATCCCCAAACAACAAATGCTGGCGAGGATTGGAGAGACAGGAGCACTCTTACACTGCTGGTGGGACTGCAAATTAGTGCAACCTTTGTGGAAAAGAATCTGAAGAAACCTCAAAGAGCTAAAAATAGAAGTACCATTCGATCCAGCCATAGCATTATTAGGCATCTACCCAAAAGAGCATAGGACATTCTGTAATGAAGACATCTGCACCCAAATGTTTATGGCAGCACAATTCACTGTTGCAAAAATGTGGAAACAACCCAAGCACCCATTAATTCATGAGTGGATTATTAAAATTTGGTATATGTATATAATGAAATATTACTCAATTATAAGAAACGACAGTGATCTAGCACCGCTCATTTTTTCCTGGATTGAGCTTGAGCCCAATATCCGAAGTGAGATATCACAAGATGGGAAGAATGGGCTCCACAGGTACTCGCCATCAAATTGGTACTGACTGATGACACTATGGTGCTCAAAGGGTGGTGGTGCTCACCAGGGATTCGGGAGTTGGGGGGGTAGACTCACAACTGAAGGACGCGGTGAGCATCGTGGCATTGTGGAGGGGAAGGGCATACCTCTAACCCTTGTCAGGGAGAGGCAAAGATATAAAATGAAACCAAAATGTTTGTACTCTCATAATTTCCTGAAATAAAAAAATAAAAAGTCAAACCCAGGCAGCACTGCTTCCCTGCAGCGACACACAGGGACGTGAAAAGCCCTTCCCCAGCGTGGGGCTCACTGGGACAGAGCACACAGCAATCGTCACAGGGTCACATGTCTGTTTCTATAGGTCCCTGGTGCCACTACGAATCTGAAGGCAAAAAATCTTCAGGCCAGGGATGTCTAAGTCCTGCGAGGGTCACTCTAGGAAAACAGGTAGGGTTTCCCACCTTCCCTGGAATGGGCATCCTGACATCTCCAATTGAGAGACAATGAACCCAGCAATAAGGCCATTAGGTCTGATTCTGGGAAGGCCACCCCAGGTCCTCCAAGAGACACGTGGTCACACTCCTGAGCTACCTGGGGGCTCCAGAGACACAGAGGCCGTGGGGAACATGCATCAGGGGCTGGGGGACTCTCAGCTCCACACCCCAGGAACCCCAGTGGTTCTAGACTGACCCAGAGGAAGGCGGTGTCAGGTGGGGCTGGGACAGGCCCTGCCCACCCACACCCCGCAGGATGGAGCCAGCAGATGCCCCCTGGGAGCTTGGGTCTTGACCCGTCCTGCATTCCGGAAGGCGCACGGCCAAGCCCGCAAAGCAGAGCTGTACTGTGGAGCCCCTGGCACCTGGCATGACAACCTCTGATGTGACTTCAGTGGGCTTGTTTGCCACTCTGTCAACGTTAAGAGAAGAAAAGTCACATCAGACGATATTCTGAACTGAGGCTGAAATATCTTAGCAAATAGCGACCCTGAAAATGAGAAATCACATGGGACCTCGTGCCACTGGGTCGCAACATGAGAAATGGACTGAGAATTCTCATGAACAATGTTAGCAAGAGGTTTTAAGGGAAGCAAGTATTCTGTTCGCCAAAAGAGTCAGCAAAATACTTTGACCATATTGCTTTATGCTGATGTCGTATTTGGTTGCTTTAGGGAAAATAAAATAAATTTCGCTTAAAACTGAGCACTACTGGTCCTCCCAGATGACAGCTGTACAGAGATTATTCTGAGCACGTCCAAAGGCAAGAGAGGAGCTATCCCAGCACCCACTGGGTGCTCCCGGGGGAACACAAGCCACCCTGCTGGTCCGTGTGGAGGCCCTCATCCATTCTGGTTAAATGGACTCGATGTGTTGTCTTCAAAGTGAATAATATTTTTGACACAAAGGAATAAATAAAGAAGAGGGTCAAAGAATAATTTTTGCAACAGACCAGCAGAAGTTTGGATTTCCAAGAAAAGAAGCAACACTAATCAGAGAGCTCTAGCACCTAGAGACGAGAACCGAACGCTGTTTTCTTTACCCTTCCTCTTCCATAGCGGCCACCCTGACACTCTCCCTTCCTTCACCCTTATTTTACTGGGCCGGGGGCAGGACCAAGCTTGAGAGTGGCTGCCCACCTCCAGCCCGGGTGGGGGAGCCCACGTGAGTCCCACATAGGAAATTCCAAGTGCAGAGACCCCCAGGCCCCTGGCAGGTGCCGAACACTGACTGAGGGGCCCCTTCCCCCCGCCCACCCTCTGACACCTGCTCACTGCTAGTTGGCTCGTCCTCTGCTTAGCTGGGCTACATCTTAGGAACACAGACACCGGCCGGTCGGCTGGAGCCCAGAGGCCTACCCACCACCCCGCCCCAGACGGGACAGGAGGCTGAGCCCGTGCGTGAGATTCCCAGGTGAGGCCTCGGACTGGGGCTCATCCCCCCACTCCTGACAGGGCTTGCTGTGGGATGGGTCACCAGAGCAGGGCTGCCATCCTGTGCTGTCAACGCTGCCTGGTGCGTGGGCCCTCAGCTGTCCCCACCCCTGCCCCCCACGCCACGAGGGCCCTGGCATGCACTGGTGGCTGCGTGGGCGTCTTGGTGACCACGTGGCCCTGGTGGCCAGACTTACCGGTAACCGCTGCTGGTGAGGACAGAGTGACGTTAAGATGGACAGTCGACAGTGACAATGACAATCAAGTGCTGTGTACAGCACCGGCAAGAGCAGCGCCCACGTGCCGTGGGCAGCCACACGGTTTCCTCACCTGTGGCAGGTGCAACTGCAGACCCTCACTGGGGATGGGCTGGCGGGACGGCGTTTGGTCCAAGTGCAAGTTAAAGACGGTGGCCAGGGCGGACTGCGCGGCCCGGGCCTTGGCGAGCTTCTTGTTCCTCCCCGAGCCCTCAAAGAACTGCCCGTCCACGACCACAGACATGACGAAGCTCTTGGCGTGGCTCTCCCCGCTCTCGGAGAGGAAGTCGTACTTCAGTCCCGGGCGCAGCTCGTTCAAGATCATCACCGGGTTCTTCCCGCTGGGCGGCGGGAAGGGCGGCGGGACGGGCAGGGGCGGCTGGGTGAGGCTGGCGGGCACCGGCGAGGCCGACAGGCTGAGGTCCCCGCTGGAGCTGAAGGAGTCGTCCCCGTTGGAGCCCACGTAGAAGGGCGGCTCCGCCTTGTCGGGGGTCTCGAAGCCGTTGAAGAGCGCGTCGGGGAAGTCGGCCTGGTCGGACGTGAAGTCCGTGTTGACAGACAGGGTCCTCCCCATGGCCAGGTGCGCCTCCGACGCGTTGGGGAACTGCACGAACGACCGCAAGGCCTTCTCGGCGGCGTGGAGCTTGGCCTTTTTCTTGGTGGGGCCGGAGCCCTCGAACACCTGCCCGTTCACCTCCACCGACATGACGAAGAGCGGCGCGTGCACCGGGCCCGTCTGCGACAGCAGCGTGTACTGCAGGCCCGGCTTGATCTCGTTCAGCTGCATGAGCGCGTTCTTGGGGAGCACGGGCCCCGGCATCCTCCTCCTCTTCTTCAGGCGGAACTTGGCGTGGCCGCCGCTGCCCTCCTCCAGCAGCCGCTTCCTGCCGCCGCCGCTGCCGCCGCCACCCCCGTTGGAGAGCTGTGTGCCCTCGCCACCACCGGGCCCCGGGGCGCCGCCGCCGTCCTTGGGGGGCACGTTGTCCAGATTACGGTTTTCCTTAACGTCGGTGCTGCTGGAACCTGCGGTGCCCAGAAAGAGTAACTTACAACGCCTTCGTTGCAGGACCTTGTAAATGCAAAATTTATAGATTCCTTTATCTCTCTTTGTAACTGGTCAAGTGATGTGTGCTTTTACGTTTTATTCCTGACGTAAACACGAGGAGCTCCACGTTTAGCCAAAGAACTGCCGCCTCGGCTGAGGCCAGTGCTTTGGCATCGTGCTTATTAATGGCTGATGCCATTTCTGTTAGTGCCGCCAACGGCTTCTGCGTTAAAAGGTGAAATCTTTAAATGATTTTTTTTTTCTACTGAGAATATTCTTAAGCACCTAGGGATACTCTTTCAAGCTTGTCAAAATGTGGGACAAGTTAATCCAGAAAGACCTTACACTGATAAGTGTAACAAAATGATAATTTAAGTATTAGACTATAGACAAATATACATTTTATTTTAGCACTCTCCTCCTTTTCATTGTCATTTACCATCATACTATCTATAGGTTTTAAACTGCAGCGTCTCTCGGGAGAGGAAACACAATTTAAAAACATTCAGAAGCTAATTTGCTTTTCAGGTTTAAAAATAGTCAATATAAATATGCAATTATCCTATGTAGTTTATGAGTCGATCTTAGGAAACTGCTTATGTAATTATAAAAAGTGTTATGGCTTTTTAGAAATTATTTTTTGGGGGATATGGCTTTATTGCTAGTACTCATTCACATTTGTCATTATCTATGGGGATTGATCAAATCTGAATCCTTACTACACTGCAAGATAGGAAAAGTATATAAGAACAAGATATAAAATTGAAGCTGCAGGCAAGCCAAGACATCTTAACTTCATAAATATACTATCCGGCAATTTCGTCTTTTTAAAAAATATTTGATGAGTTTTCAGAATAATTTGTTTATCCTACTTTTTAAAGTTAGTTTGGACTTAAAATTAATAAAGATAATTTTAGAATTCTAAAAGTGCATGGCGAAGGAAACATGATTTTGATTTTAAAAAGGGGAATAAGAAAGTGTTCACTCCTCCCTCTAAGTTCACCAAGCTTTTTAAAAAAGGTAGGAAGGAATCATTCCTTTTTATCATGGTTAGTTTCTCAGGCCACCTGCTGCGTGGCGCCCAGGAGTAGCAGTCGCAGGGCTGCGCAAGGTTTTCCGTGTGGATGCATTTAAAGATCTCTACCACTGGCTTCGGAAAATCCACAACAAATCTTTTAAGTCACCAAAATATTTTTAAGACTATAAACCAATTTACAAGTGCCCCGATATGGGGGCTTTGGGTCTGATTCTACTACATAATGGGAAAGTAGATTCTCACTCTGTTTGGCAAACTGAAAAAACCGTGAGAATATTCATGAGCTCCACCTTGGGAAGGTTTCAGATAACGATCTCTAACTCCAGGGCGGTGGTTCAGCTGAGACTGTGAAGATAACCTGGTTTGGACACAGCTCCTGGGAAAACTGATGCTGAGCTGTGGCAGGGATTAGGGGTCTACAAACCCCCTCTGCGGGCACTGTGTCTCCCAAACGCCCCTCACACACCACTTCCCCCAGTTGGCAAAGCTGATGGAATGGACACTAAATTTTCATTTACAACACCCTCCAGCAAAAGCTCGGTAGGTTACTCCTTTCGGTGCTCAAAGGGAACAAAAGGTTAAAAAAAGCAGAGCCAAGATGGAATTCAGAGGTTAATAAATCGAGCAAGAACATGACACACTAGATCATTGCTTACATTTGCTGTTAAACAATTATCAAGAGAGAATATCAGATCATCATAAACATACTCTGACATGCATTTAATCAAGTATTTATAACCTCTAAAACAACCACATGCTTTCAGAAATAAAAAACAATCAGTATCGGACTGACAAGTAATATTGACATTGTAAGAAAAATATACTTTGCACAACACAGATTATGTACATCCTAAATTCTTGTTCGCTTTAGAGGCTCTGAGTTCTGCTCACGTCAGCTGTTAACAATGCTACTATATAAAGGAAAATGAGATATTAAAATGAGAGAAAGACACCCCACAATCTCAAATCCTCTTAAACATATGCATTCTGTTCACAGATTATGCTGCTATTACAATTCATAAATGAGAATATTAATCACGATAGAACATACACGACTGGCATGTCAAAGTTTTGGCACTAGAACCAGCAGCTTATCTTTCCAGGAGAATTACTCAGGAGGGTTCTTTATTGCATTGTTATCACAGGATCAGTTCACGGCTCATCACATAAACCCGTGCGACCAGACATTCCTGCCTACGCAGGAGGACTGCAGCCACGGACTACAGTGCACAGTCCTGACACAGAGGAGGCCCTGAGACACCTGCACACGCTGTTCGGGTGGAACACCTGGGGACACCTGGACACTCTGTTTGGGTGGAACACCTGGGGACACTTGCACACGCTGTTCGGGTGGAACACCTGGGGACACCAGCACACACTGTTCAGGTGGGACACCTGGGGACACCTGGATACCCTGTTTGGGTGGAACACCTGGGGACACCTGCACACGCTGTTTGGGTGGAACACCTGGGGACACCTGCACACGCTGTTTGGGTGGAACATCTGGAGACACCTGGCATATCCTGTTCGGGTAGAACACCTGGGGACACCTGCACACATTCTTCAGGTGGAAAATGAAATGGGCCAAGCGAAGGTCACATTTTCTAGAATGAGGAGCGTGGGCATAATCTCTCCCTTAAAAACTGTGGCAGAAATGGCAATGCTGAGAGGAACTGCCCAGTGAAACATGAGGCTGGGTTTTAAAAAGATCTCAAGAGCAGGACTGACGAGAAAACCGCCAGCAGCGGCCACAGGAAGCACACCCATCGGCAGAGTAGGTGAGACCTTGGCCACCCGGGTTGGCACGTGCTCAAGCTGTCAACCCTCATGCCCGCGGCAGCCGCCCCCGCTGCAGGGACATTCACCGTGCGGTTCGCAGGACAAAGGCCCGCCCTCCCCCCCACAGCAAACTTAAGGAGCAGCAACACAGCGCAGGGCCGTTCCTGGGCCACAGTTTGATTCATGTGGTGGACAAGAGCCATCCCAAGACCTCAGCTGATTAGTTTTGTGTGAAGTCACATTGAAATGCGCTGAGCTAAGTTGTAACGATCAATAATCACTCCCAGTATCATTTAGAGCTGCACGTTCTTCCTTGAGACAGGTAAGGATATACATACATACACATAATTAGTTAGAAAAGTGATGTCTTTGTTGTAAGTCCCCACTAAACTCTCCCAGCTGCGGTGGAAGCACTGAAACCTTATTTAAACATACTGCTACCTGGGACCGAAGATAACATAGAAGAGACAGGTATGTTTCCTGACCTTTCCATAGAGAACAAGTCTGAGAGAGGAAAGAGCTGGCGTGCCGTGAGGCCCTCCAACCCCTCGGCCCCAAAGAGGGCAGCATGGAAAGAAGAAAGTCCCCCCCCCAGAGGTCTGCTTACGCCAGCCCCACGTCTCGTTACTATCTTTGGAAACTTAAGCGTAACAGACACCTGTGAGCCCCCTTCCCTCAAAATGCAGAGACTCTGCTGTATTTGCAGGGAAATATTTGTATATGATTATCCAGAAGACTGGGTATTTGAATCAATTTCAAAGGTTGCCTTTGGTTTGCATGGATGACAACTCAGGGCACTGCTCTGAGAGCCAGCCGTGACGTGACTTCACATGACCACATAGCTGCATAAGACTGCGCCCAGAGGCATGTTCCAGAAATAGCAAGTGACAGCCCCGTGATGATAACAAGGCATGGAAACCTAGGCACCTGGCTGTCGGGAAACACCCCAGGTAGACACTGACACCCACTGCAGGTAACTAAAATCATGACGCTGTCGGCGAGCACACATCACGAGAAAACCCACCAATTTGCCTAAATCGGTCTCATTAATAAACTTACAAAAACACCAAAACTTTAACAGGAGATTAGCTATTTGATGCTACACGATAGGCCTAGATCTTACTCATGTTTTCTTCATCTTCTAAATCCATGGCAAAAGACTTTTGAGGGTTTCTTGACTGGCGGAGACTGTTTCTGTCTGAAAGACAGCAAGAAAATAGCATTTAGTGTTCCCAGGATACGGGCAATAGGAGGTAAATCTGCTCTGGGGAGATGATTACACTGTTATTACAGATTAAAGGAAAAAATCATGAAATAAGAACTCAGGTCTTGGCAGGGCACGGTGGCTCACGCCTGCAATCCTAGCACTCTGGGAGGCCGAGGTGGGTGGATCGCTTGAGCTCAGGAGTTTGAGACCAGCCTGCCAAGACGTGAGACTATGTCGCCAAAAAAAAAAAAAAAAAAAAAAAAAAAAAAAATTAGCCAGGCAAAGTGGCGCTCGCCTGTAGTCCCAGCTCCTCGGGAGGCTGAGACGGGAGGATCGCTTGAGCCTAGGAATGTGAGGTTGCTTGAACTATGATGACACCATTGCGCTCTAGCCCAGGCAACAGAGCGAGACTCTGTCTGAAAAAAAAAAAAAAAAAGGAATTTAGGTCTTGTTGGAGAAGTTAGGTCTGCCATTTGGGACCGAACACTCCTTTCTGGCAAGTTCCGGAGCAGCGAAGAAAGGAGTCCTGATGGGGACTCTCCCGTGTGACAGATGACGAGGAGGATGGGGTCACAGCAAGGGACGTCTCGGGCTGTGCCCAGAGCCCCCAGGCTACTCTGCGGAGGGTGGGCTTGATTCTGGGAACGGAGGGCCACAAAGAGCTCTGGCCAGGAGCAAAGGTGAGGGGCACATCTCAGAAAGCTCTCTCCTGCAGGATGATTTGGAGACACGACACATCCTGACAGACAAGGCAGAACGCAGACGGGGCTCCCACCTGCCTGCCTCTGATCTCGGTTCTGGGCAGACTCTTGGTGTGGGTTGCAAAATAAAGCCGAATACCAAGGACCAGCACACCCTTGGCATTTCACTGGACTACTTCTCCGTCATCTTGAATAGCATCTCATATAGATGAGTCTAAAATGCATGTAGTTGTTAAACTTAACCTAATTTCTCAGCCAGGTATAACATATTATTTGTTGGCAGGAGAAACCACAGGAAATCCTCGAAGAATAATTATTCCAATTTCTGATCATTAACAAATTTGAGTTTCCTCTTCCTAAATATTTTAGGTACACTTTCCCAGATTGCACTAATATATGATCTATAATAAAGAATCCCATCAAACTGCAATTGAGGAAAAAGAGATTTGCAAATTTTGTAACCACATATTGCTATGTATATAAAAAATTTACATTATAAATCATTAAAAGGCAAATTCATTACTTTTAGGAAAATAGTACTAAAACATGTATATCTTATATATCTCTCATATATCATGTATCTAAAATATACATAGTTTACATGATAATCATTTGTTAATCACTTTTAATCTCACTACATTTCTGGCAAATTTGTCGCTAAAAGTTAGATGAGCTTCTATTTAGAATAGAGATTAAAAAATGTTTTCCAGATAGTTTTAAAAGTGCTACTATATTCTGTATTCCTGCTTATATTAAAAAAAAAATAAAAAAAAATAAAAGTGCTACTATTTTATATTCGTTAATTACTTCAAGACATGTTTTCAGAAAATTATGTGCAAAATACAGTGCTGGATAATAATACAAAAATGAATCAGGAAGATTCTGTAATTGCAAAATTTAAATGTAAATACTGCCGGGATAGTTGGTTATATTAAGGAATTATTGTTAATTACTTTAGGTATATAAATGGTAGTTAACTTTTAGTGATGTGCACTGAAGTCTTTACAGATGAAAGGATAATATTTGAACTTCATTTCAGACTATCCAGCAAGGTAGGAACAAAGTAGAGGAGATACAGGTGGCTGGTCTTTGTCGCACCTGGCTGAGGGGCGTGTGGGTTCATCGTACAATTCCCTATTTGTATATGTTTAATATTTCCACTATGGAAAGTTTTATTTTAAGAGATGGGGTCTCACTCTATTGCCCAGGCTGGAGTGTAGTGTTGTGATCAAAGCTCACTGCGGCCTCGAACTTCTCGGCTCAAGCGATCCTCCTGCCTCAGCCTCCCCAGGTGCTGGGACTAACAGGCATGGCCCGTTATGGCAAATTTTAATAAAAGCGATTGAGGTTTGACCTAGGACGGGAGGTGAGATGCAGGACAAGGCGCGAGGCCCACGTGTGCAGGGCAGATGCCCTCGCGGTGTGTGTGGGTCTCTCAGGGGCCTCTCAGCAGGCAGGGTCAGCTCCGAGAAACGGGGACGTGATCATTACGCTGAGCCTCAGACGAAGGCCACACTCGGGCGTACCAAGAAGAGGGAGAACAGGGAGTGAGCACAAAGCACGGGAGTATGTAGGCAAGCTGATCACAAGGCACTTCTGAGAAACCCCGACCATAAATTGGGGAAACGACAGAGGAACCTGCCCAGAGGACTCAGCAGAAGACTGACTGAAACAGGCAGAAGGGAATTCCCCGGTGGGAAGGTGCAGACGATGTGCTTGTCCCTTTTCCTCCCGTTAAGAACAGCGAAAACCCTGGATGTCATATATAGAACGATTCTGAGAGGCCTAAACAGAGGCAGAGCAGCCAGCGACCCGGGACCCGAGGAAGGACACTCCCTCTCTTTCGCCTCCTGGTGTCTGACTTGGAGCGAAAGAAGCTAAACCCAGAACCCAACAGGCACAGACCAAAAGCTCCAACAACAGCTGCTCTCTCTGGCCGAGGGACCAAGGACGGAGCCCAGTGAGACAGGAACCTTTAGCTAACAATAGCTCCACTTCAGCCTAGCAGCACACAAGGACCTCGGCCCCACCCACGCCGGCGGTCAGCACCCCAGAGTCCCCGTGCTGCCACGGGCTCAGACAAGCCCAAGTGGGGAGCCAGGGCTCATCCCAAAGGCCCTTCTCTCACCGCAAAATGGGGTCATGGCTGCCCCCCCCCCCACAGGGAGGCCCAGCGGGGAGCCTGGCCCTGCCCCTCCCAGCAGGAAGGAGAGCTGTCTGGGAAAGTGGCTCGTGCAGAGGGTTTGAGTCAGATTCAGAGTCTCATGACATCACGTGAGCAGGTTGCAGTTAAAAAAAAAAAAAATCACTGGTCATACCAAGAGCCAGGAGATCTCAAACTGCATGGAAAAGACACCGAACAGGTGCCGACTCAGAGACGCAGAGACGTGAGAATGACCCGAGAAAGATTTAAAGCCACCTTCGCAGAAAGAGTAACGGGGAGGGATCCGTCTGATACCCGCCCTGGCCGTGCAGCCGCCAGCGGCGAGACAGGACGGCGTTGGCCAGGGACGGACACGCAGGTCGCAACGGGGCAGAGCAGGGAACCCAGCAACAGACCCTCAGCCACGTGGCCGGCAGCCCCGCCAGAGGGACGGCTGTCCGAAGCAGTCAGCCACCCGGCAACAGAGTGACCCTCGATCAGCACTCGCTCAAAATGCACCGAGGCTTACATGAAAAACAGAAAACTAGGAAGCTGCTAGAAAAGCCACAGGAGAAAACCCTCAGGATCCAGGGCCTGGCAGAGAGGGCTTAGACTTGATCCCTGAGAGAAAAGATGGACACAGCGGGGATCAAAACCTTCTGCTCTGCAAAAAAGGATCCTGTCGAAGAGATGAAAAAACAAGTTACGGACCGGGAGAGAACACTTGGGTCAGACTCAGAGTCTCATGATACCACGTGAGCAGGTTCCAATGTTGGTTCACAGGTCCAATGAACAGAATGGAATTTTGAGAAATTCTCAAAACTCAGCAGTAAACAGACAATCCAATTTAAAAACAGGCAAAAAGGCAGGAGGAGCCATTTCACCAAAGAGGATACACACAGGTCTTGGAAAGTCAGTACGTAAAAGACGTCCGATAACACCGGCCCTTGGGTTTAGGGCAGCTTGAAAGCACAATGGGACACCACCTCTGAGAACGTGCCCCTCCGGGAACGTGCACCTCAAAGTAAAACACAGTGACCACCTCAAATGCCGGTGAGGACGTGGAGACACTGGCTCTCTCCAACATCACTGGCAGGAGTTTAAAACGAGCAGCCACTCTGGAAAACTGCCTGGCAGTTCCTTAAACTCGGAACACGCAACCACCGCCTGATGTGGCAATCGTACGACGGGGCGTCTATCCCAGAGAAAGAGAAAGGATGGTGCGTGTTCACACTTCTTACAACTACATGTGAGTCGACATTATCTCGGAATAAAAAGTTTAATCAAAAAATGGGCAGAAGCCATGCAAAACCCTAATTTAATTCTTGCCATTAGTCAACAGTTGGTTTGCTGGAGGAGACTGGCGTCCCTCAGATTTCTGTGGCCAGGGAGAACAAACTCCACAATGACAGTAACAGTACGTGCCAAGGTGCAGGAGTGAGCCCAGCGCTAATGCAGTTCACCTGATTTGCACAGCGCGCCTCATTTTCCTGCTTTTACATATTAAAATCCTTTTTAAAGGACACAGGAAATGTCTCACAGTGGAGAGTGGCCACGCCGCGAGCGGTGGCGGCGGGCGCCCGCACGGTGAGAATGGGAGCTGCAAGCCTCTCGCAGAGCAGGAGTCGATGTTTGCGGCGTCTACAAGTGCCAACTCTTATGCCAAAGGTTACAAAACAAAGCAAAACGGCAACGCGAGCACGTGGTGGACTTCACACAGCTGCTTTTTAGTGCGTTCTGAAAAGAACCTCTCATGGACTAACCTGCAAGCACATAAAAATTAAAACTCCATTAAAAATTTCCTGGGGAGCAGAATGCCAAGAACGTCCGGTTAAAGAAAAGCTCTGATAGTGACATTCAGAATAACCTCTCCGTTTCTCAAGAGGCTCCTGGTGCGGCAGAAGACAGGCAGTGGTGAGCATGCGGGGCCCACCGCGGAAGACCGGGTGCCCGCGTCTAACTCGGGTCCGGTGCAGCCCCAAGCTTTCTTTTTTAATGGAACTAGACTAGCTGATTCTAATGTTTATGTGGAAGAATAAACAGGTTCAAATAACCAGGAAAGCTCTGAACCAAGGAGCGAGCGGGTGGGCCAGCCCTGCTGATTAGAAACACCCAAGGCCCACGGCCACAGGTCAAGGAGACAGGAT